ACCACTGTGAGTGACCTGCTGTGTAGAAAGTGTTACGGTTATGATATGTCGTCATGGGTTTTGTAAGTGGATACCACATTTAATAATACTTTTCATCATAGATGTCAACAAGTATTCAATGAGAACGTAATTACTATGTAAATAACAATGTTGTACTAAGTGTAAATCACATACAGCACAGAAAAGATCAAGTTTAACTGCCTATAACTGAGCGTGAATTGTTGCATTAGTAACGTTTAGGCAATTTTTTCATTTTATTCGTGATCAGTAAGTTACCTATTGTTAGATCTATCGAAGCGTGCAAGTCACCCGATTGAGATACGCGCAAAACCGAAGTTTCCAAAACAACGATTTGTCTACAATAGTGGTTCTTTATTGAATAATACACAAAATTTAGTTGCAAAACTCAACTTATGAGGCGTCTGAGGCGTTTAAACGCGTCCTTCAAGTATAAAATAAAAAGGCTTCCTGTAACAATAACACAAAGAATAATTGTAACATACGATAGTACAAAAGACACTTGATAGCTGTGTCTAAATTTAATTGCAGTTTACTAACAACCAAAACAATATGGAAACTGTTGCGTTTAAACAAATGCACAAAACTGTAGATAACAACTACAGTGATTAAGGTACAGCAATTAAAATGACAAATACAATCATAAGTACAATAAACATTATAAGTATATGTGAACATTTCAGAAACTAACAGTACAACTTACGTTACAAGATAAGTGTGAAAATTGGTAGGAATACAACTGCTTACTGAATCTAAATAAGTAGTATAAAGCAATATACAAAAGAGTGGAAAGGGAACGAGTAAAAACAACTTAAGACAAACTTAACACCGCCCCCCAAAGACAGTATGTCTTTCCTCACTTTCGCTGATTAGATAATAACGTAAAAACGTTCTGAAATGACAGTGGTACGATTTACTCTGGCCATAGTCACTCTGAAAGGTCTCTTTATCCTCTACTGTTCGATCGTCCGCTCCTTTCAATAAACAAATTTTACGTATGTCTAATAATTATACATTTCGACGTCCTGATCTTCGCTTGTCTCACTAGACCATCTTCTCCTGGGTCGATACTTACCTCTAGGCCTTTAGGCTAATTATTTCATACATAATTGTCTCCAATAATCAAGACTAGATCGCCAACTTGTAAATCTCGTCTTCTTTGTGTCCATTTTGTTCGCGTCTGTAAGAGTGGTAAATACTCCTTTATCCACCGACGCCAAAATGTAGTCGCCAACAGTTGCGCTTGTCCCCACTGTCGGGAATAACGCTCGCGTAGGTTTATTTCAATCTGATGAATGTAAGGTTTTCTTAACAAAATTAAATTATTGGGTGACAATGTCTCGAGTTGTTCTGGGTTGCAGTCTATCATTAAGTATTCTTTCTACTTCAGTCAAATAGGTGGTGAGTGCATCGTAGGACATAGTTCGCTCGCTAGATACGGCGCTCAAAATTATATGTATGTTTCTTATTAATCTTTCCCATATTCCTCCATGATGACTTGCGTAGGGAGTATTGTGGTACCATTCTATGTTCCGACGAATCATTTCTTTAGCTACTCTATTATCCTTAAAGTCTGGTAATAGATGTTGTATCTCCTTCTCTAACTCAACTAAAGGGAACACAGATGTAGCTGTCTTAAACTTCTTATCGTCATCAGCAGACTGAATAAAACAATCATCTTTCTGACTCTCTGTTTCACACTTGATGTCGATAGAACTCTCAGCAGACGCCACTACAGAAGATTTAAGTTTCGTATTTGCAGGGAACTGAGTTGTTGTTGCTTTGACACCAATTGATGACTCGTGTGGTAGTATCACAGAGTAAGTATTATCGTTCACGTCAGGAACCTCAGCGCAGACATCAGGGAAATCTGGTTCGGCAGAACACATGGCAGATGTTTTCGAAGACACTAAATCGCCACTATCTGTTGAAGGAATTCTCATACTCATACTTTGTTGTCAACAGATGAAATGATTCAAACACTAAGTATGACTAGGACAAAGATGTTGGCCACATGGTTGGAGACAGAAAACTAATTTTTCTTATTGTTTTAAAAATATTTTTTCTGTTGGTATTTTCGTCTTTTGATTATTCAGAGTTCAACAATAACTTCGATTACTAAAACCATTATTCTTAAAAGTTAGTTTTTCTGTAAATGTCCTCAGAGTTTCTGTATATCCAAAGGAACAATATTTTTGCTGTTGGGGAGTGCTTATTTTCCATACTTTACGGATTATATATGCTCGCACTAAATGTTAGTTCATTGTAGATTACTTAATATTTATTTGAACACATAAATACTGGTACAACGAGGCATGGAATACATATGAGACGCACAAGTCACTTGATTTCTGCGTGGGCTAAGATACTACCTTGATGCCCAAACCGAAGTCGGTGGTTTTTTTATAGGGCCACACCCGAGCCTTTGACCTAAAGGCCTGATCCACAATGCAGTGCAACAAAGTGAGGAGATGCAATCCCATGGTATCCTGTGAGCAATAATTGGTTCATACGTCATTTGTTCGTTCAGGATACTAAAGCTCATGTACACAATTGGTTGGGAATCAGGGTTTTCCAACCGCTTTAGGCGGATCCTCCATATCTATTAACCCGGTTAAAGCTCCGGACATTGGCTTTTCGCCTCTCAATTTCGTAAACAACACCCCTTTAGAGAGAATACAGTCAGTCATGTTTCCCTGGCACGTAGTCATGTGAAAGCTTTTCAAGAGGGAAAGTGGACTCTTTTCACCCTCGGCCATACCAGGGCATTCATAGTAAGATGATTGATTTTTGTTCATTGTCAAAAGTAAATAATGTTTTATGAGACACCACTTTAACAGAAACCATTCAACAAATTAATTTCATCATACGTTCAATTTAAAGGAAAGCCGTCCAGCACTTCCTGGTTTTCATTGGTGGTCTAAAATTGATCAGTTTATGATTTCAATGAAAACCTATATATTCTGGACTTCACTAAGTTTTATTCATACAGCATCTTATGTTGTGCTTACTGCGGTCATTTCTGTAGACAGTAAGGGGAAGATAAAAATATCACTTTTAATGATTCATTCATAAATTCTTCGCTTTGAATTTTCATCTTTATTACCGACTGTAAAATATTTTATTTACACATACTGTGAATATATTTCTGCAGTTAGCTTCCCCTTAAAATCACATAGAGGTTACTAAAACAACTTTATTTCCTCAGTGGAGTTTCGTTCACTGAGCTGGATAGTTTGGTCCTGGAGTTTTTAGTGTTTTTCTGAACAACATCATCAGCACAAACTTCAAATAGCAGTGAAGTGTTCAAATTTCTCCACATATGACTCACAGCATGTCCTGTCAAGCTCAATCTTGATTTGTTATTGTTAACCTTTAACCTGTCATTGTTCACTTCTTTGTTTTGATTATCTCTCTCCTTGTTTTGATTTTTGGTCCTAAATTTGTCCATGATTTTCTAATTGACTGAGAGATTTGGTTGATTTCAATGTGCTAATTGGTTGCTGATTAACTTGTGTTTAATTTTCCCTCTGTCCAAGATCTCAACATTTATCCAGTCAAATAAATGTCCACACATGTCCATATGTTTTGTCCACTAACTGATGTTCGTGCAGGCGAAGGTGATCGGCGCGTCCACTTTGTTCGATGTATAGTTTTTCACAATTGGAACAGTTTATTTTATAGATAATGATTGCTTTTTCCTCTTTTATCATTTCGTCCTATGGTTTACATAGGAGTGATTGAAATGATTTTGTTGGTTTTTATACTACACCTATTGCAAATGGCTTCCGTAAATTCATAACTAGTGATATGTCTTTTATATATGTTAGAATGATCTGTTTGTTGGTTTCTGTACTTGACTTCATTTCTGCATTTGGTTGATATTTTTTGGTGAAATTGCATAGATACTCATTCTTTTGAAGGATAGTCGCTAGATACTTTTTCTTTGTTTTTCAGTGCTGCAAGTGTGCTGCAGTGTTTTCTTTACCGCTTGTATAAGGTTTGTACGCAGTTGCTTTTTTGTGTTCTTCGGTTCTTGCTACTGTACTTGAGAATTTAATTTGTGTGAATCGGGTTCTGATGTACTTTGGTCTCCAGTTTTCCTGTGATGGTTCTGATGCTTAGTACATCTAAGAATGATATTTTGTTGTTTGACTTCTTTTTTATTATAAATTTTGTCATCGAAGACATTGTCAACCACTTATGACAATGGATACTTAAATATATTATATGACTGTTATGTAATCAGGAGACACAAAAACGCTTGAATAATTTCATCACCTTCAGGTAATCTGAAGATTGAAATTTCAAGAGTTTGTTTATAAAATGCTACAACGAATTCAAGGTTCTAGGGTTGCTTCCCTAACATCTTTCAAATTCTGTATGTTCAAAGTAAGGCATTGTTCTTAGCCTGATATGCACGTTCACATACTTTGAGCGATATACTAGCAGATTGTAAGGGACGATCTAAACATTGAAGGACATCATCTTATAGTAATGAAATAATTGACTCGTTAGTGAATCCACAAATCATCATCCCTAGTATTAAATAAAGTTTTTTTCTAACTTATGAACAAACATAAGACCAAAAATCAAACCACTGGGAGATACAACCAAAATAAGGAAGTAAATATTGGTAGGTTTTAGGTCAGCAAAAACCAATCAACAACGAGGTCTACAGGACAATCTGTGAATCATATGTGCAGGAATTTGAACACTTCACTTCTATCTGAAGTTTATACTGATGACATCATTCAGAAGAACGATGAAATCTCCACGACCAAATTATCTAGTTCAGAGGTTATTTTAGAGTCTAAACAACTTTTCTTCAAACTGACTTATATTTAGTTTTTTTTATCAAGAGTTAATTTCAAAAGAATAATTCTTTTTCACAAATAACAGCAAAAAAAAACACCAAGATCATATCCATTCATTATCATACAAGTGAATGAAACAAAATCCATAAAGAGAATAAACATCGTTTAGACCTCAATCAAAGGAACCAATGGTGGTATTATTGATATTGAATGTTGAAATATATCTGGAATTTCTCTTTTTTTCAAAAGTTTTAACAATGTATTACCATATTCACTATGATACTTTTGTTTGACATCTTCTGACAGATCTATTCCATAGATTACTTTATATAACTTATCTATTGTATGTAAATCGATCTGTAATATGATAAAGTAAGAGTTACAAATAAAACTTATTACATGTGATGGAAATGTAATTACGACAAAAAAATACAGGACAAAATGTAGATATTTCATACACATAGTTTATGTTATATCCGAGCGAAGATGAAATCACGAGTAACTTCTGAGACATAATAATTGACTAATATCATCTATACATTCTTATGGTATAAGTATTCAATAATTAGATTATGTATATTTATATTCCTCTTATTATAAGCTTTATTTTGACCTAGAATTTAGTATTGTACGATTTACTGTCCCTAAATTATGCCCAGTTTATTAACTACTACCTCCGCCTGTAGCTTTAATAGGGTTACTGCCGGTCGCAAGCCCGGGTAAAGGAGGAGGGTTGGGCATGGGGTTAGCGTCCCCATCCCGTAGAAAACTAACTTGCTAAAAAAACGCTTACCAGAAAAAATAAGTAAGTAAGTAAGTCCCACGCTAACAGCCACTTTTGGGCTTCATTGTGTACAAATGTTATTTCCTATTTTATAGTACGTTGTCGTCTGTTTGGTAGATATATAAACCCAGTATGTTTGAAAATAAATGATTCCATTCAATTCGCATATTGCAGAAGCTGGCATTGTGTTCTGAACTCAGTGAACGGGCTAGGCGGACATAGAACCAATAAGGACGCTAGACTGCCCATACCGGTTGAACGTCATTGGTTTGGCACAGTGGGAAGATTTTATAAGTCGTATTTTGATTGGTAGATAAATCATGTGATAAAAAGCCGGACATAAACTCATAACAGTTCCCTTTATTACTTTAATAAGAGAGGGAGAGAACGAAGCGATCGTCTAAAAACAGATCGATGTAACCAAAAAGAGACAGTAATAAATCTTTCTTTGCTCTGGTAACATTAAACCTCCTTTTTATTTATTACATCATTCATTATTTTAACTCTTTCTGAAGTTTAAATTGAATCATTGTCATTTTTCTTCAACTCATAACTGACTGATTTCAATTCATATCTTTCTTTATTACCATTAATCTACTTTTAGTACCTTCATTACATAATCATCTAATGGTTGTTAACTTCATAAGTTTAATCACTATTTCAATGTTCTGGAACTTTCCCTCATTAACTCTATCGGGTCTTCGCTACATCATGATACATATATTCATTCTTAATCACCCCCTAATGTACAAGAATTGTAGTGAACAAAAACACGAGTGAGGAGAATCAATTATATCTGAACACAAAATTACAGAGTATGTCACTAAATCTGAGAACCATACAGTAAATAATTCACTTGATATTGTTTTTACTTGAATCTTCGGTACTGAGTTCGAGTCCCAGAGTGAACATCAACTTTGAGATGCAGGTACATCCAGCTGACGAGTCCCAAACAGGACGAAACGCGCGTCCTGGATTCCACTGCTAGCCACTATCCATCTTTGCTTACATAGAGTAAATACTTAATTTGCAAAATATCAATCAATTGTCTAAATCTTGACTACTACTTTGTAAATATCAGTCCATCACCTTAGATTTCTTTGTTCATTCATTTTCATACCAAAGGTTTCCAGTTTCCGTTCTTTCCTTCTCGATCTTCTACTGAAATACATTCTACGACTGACCATCGTTATATACTACTTATCTGAATACAAGTAGCTCACATCACATTATGTCAATATCTGTAATAACGTTGATTTTCAAATATTTTTAGGTTTTAAGCAACTTATGATAACCTAATGAAATAAAATGGATTTATGCTATTCTGCACTAATCTTTGTTCTTGCTCTTTAGAAAAGTAGATAATCGGTAGTGTATAACAATTTTCAGTAAAATAACCACTATCAGGTACAAAATGTAATCTAATCTGATTATCAGCTTAATAAACATAGTCTTTAATTTGAATGGCACATAACTGACTGAGAAACAGTGAAAGCTGAAATAAACGAAATCTCATTCTAAGAGTTATTACATACGTAAGCAAATGATTTTTTAAGCAAAAATGGATAGTGATTATCATTGGAATCCATGATGCGCGTTTCGTCCTATTTGGGACTCATTCACTGGATGTATCTGCATCCGAGTTTAGATCCACTCTGGGAATCGAATCAAGTACTGTTCGCCTCAATCGTTCCCACGTTGTCCACTTAGCTACTGAATCCTGTTAGCTACCTGCTTGTGCAATGGGGTGAAGTTTAAATTCATTTGGTGTTGTTTGCTTGTATTTTCCCATTTTTGTTTATGACTGCTATTGATCAGTCTCTTGTTGGCACATATACAACACTTCTGCAAGCTTTATTCTTCCATCTAATTACACTGAATAAATGTAAACATTGAAAATATTTTACGTATTCTGCATAAGCTTACCTCAGAACGAAAAATAAGGAAACGTTGAACACTCAAGCTATCAACAAGTTCTTTATGAAGTTCATCGTGGATTAACGTAGCAAAATACATTGGTTTATTAATGGAATAATTATCTAAAATTAAATATACATGGATAGAAGTTTTACTGAACTACATAACGGTACTCAATAAAATATTACACCAACGATTAATATAATTTGATTAGTGTGATACTGTGGTGTGTGCTACTTATATTGACATAAGTAGTATATGATGTTAGTCGTGAATAGAAGGTCTGACAGCTGAGAGACATGAGGATCGACCTAGTAACCATGGTATTCTGTACTTTATAAAAATTCAGAAGCAAAATCGCAAGATGATAGTTCAATATTTTTTTTAGTATTCCAAGATTTTCAGGAACTGCTATAGATAAACGGTTTTTACAATCGTATTTACTATGCCAACCTGATTTATACAATTGATGACAAATGGTGATATAGTTTGTTCACTCAGTTAGTGTTTACTAAATACGGAAAATAAGCCAAACGTTTTGTCAGTATAGAGTTATGGAGATTATCATAGTTTTGATTGAGATGCTGGCTCAGTGGTCTGGATGATAGCTGTCCATGCGTGAGACCAAAGGCCTTAGGTTTGATTACAGCGAGCAGCATCATGGATGAGCACTGCTGAGGGACCTCATAATAGAACGGAACGGCCTTCCAGTGCTTCCAGATTTTGAATGTTCATCTAGCATCAACCGGTTCACAAATGTTTAACTGGCTTAAACGTTTATGTTTAATCAGAATAAAATACTTGAAGACAATTTTTAATTGTCTTCGTTGGAATTATTGGTTTTAAAAATATAAATCCATCATAATTTTACAAAGTTAAATCTATACAAACAACTGAACATCTACATATGGAGAATCATTATAGGAAACCATGAGAATTCGGAAAATTGTAAAAGTATGCTAATACAGAAGTTCACCAAAGATCTGACAGTTGATAGACATTTGATATTAAGAGAGAAATGACAAGAGGAAAAAGATATAAGTTATTAGTGATTCCAGTTTTATGAAGAGGTATGGAAAGCGATAGTTTGTTTTTTCGAAAATCTCACCAACAAATCTATACTCTAGATGATGGTTGGAGGTAGTCAATAGGAAGCCCTGAACCCAGGTTTCGTGCAACTTGGCACTCCTCAGCAAGGTGTACCTGTAATGTTGTGGGAATTGGTGTTACCTGACGGATTTGATCCCGTGTCACCCAACTACAAAGTCAGAGACGTTACCACGTGGTCGATGGCATTCGATCTGCACTAAAAAGGACTTGACACAAATGACATTGATCACCAAGCAGTGATCAATCAATTGTGATTAAATCTATAGTCTCTCGTATTCGTCTACGCGGGACATAATCAGAAGCTTATGAGTACGAAGATTTCATAGACGTTGTTAACAAAAAACATTGTGTTTTCATTTTCACTTGATCACACATATTTTATGTACAAATCGTTTCTGAAACTGTTACTTGAAAAGAAATATACTCGTTCTCTTTTTGATGGAGTTTAGTGCGCTGAGCTGGATAGTTTGGTCGTCGTTCTTTTGAACGACATCATCAGCACAAACTTCTACCAGCTCCGAGAGTAAAACTCCATCAAAATCATTCACCTGAGCTACAGATCTTCTCCATGATCTCATACTCGTTCTCTTTTCGTATTGTGATCACAAATTTAAAATTCAATTTGTTCTTTGATCTTTTTTCCTTTGTTAATTTTAAATGATCTACGTAGTATTCTGATTAATTCTTACGTGATTTATATGACAGTATATATTTTTGCTGGTTAACGTTTTTTTAGAGAGTTAGTTTTCTACGAGTCGAGGTCACTAACCCCGTACACAACCTTTTTCGTTTACCCAGGCTTGGGACTGGTAATAGCTGCAAAGGAACTCCGGGCAGAGTATAACTGTTAAACATGTTTAACAACTTATTTGGATGAAGTGGATATTCATAGGTTATTCTATAGTTATTCAGGAGGTATGTTTTTAAGTATTCAAAATGAGTTAAATGATAATCATAAATTACACTTATTCGTTGTCATATACAGGTAAAATGAGGTTGATTCAATAAAAAAAGCATACTAGATCGATAATACTTACACATTGCTAATAAAATATCGTGAAGTTGACCTGACGTCCTTCTTTCAAGAACTTCACCAAGTTGTCTAACGGGTTTCTTTGAAATTATATATGGATAGGAAGAAACAAATAAATTAAAAAATCAGAAAATATTCAAAGATTTACAATCTGTCTCTAATGATGGTTATATTTTGAAATAAAGGAAGAGTTTCTATGGAGATTTTAGTAAATTCAATAGTTGAGATCATCAGTCAATTAAAGCTAAACCATCATGAAAAATCTGGAAGCACTGGACGGCTGTTTTGTCCTGGTACAGCAGTGCGCATCCACGATCCTGCCTCGCGAGATTCGAACCTAGGACCTATCAGTCTCGCTCACAAGCGCTTAACATTTAGACCACTGAACCGGCATCCAAATAATCACGAAGTTAAGAAAATGACATTTATGAATCAACTTTATAGTATCAGTTAACAGACGTACTTGTCTATAAATCATGTTCAATTTTTGAAATTGAAATGATCAAGTTTACATAGACGTTCACCAAGCTGCTGTCCCACATCTTCGCTTAAATCAAGAAGAAAAATTTAAAAAACAACATTCTTCACAGAATAAGTTACAGGAGGTTGGTAGAAATTAAATATTATGAAAAGATTCAATGTTTTGACAAACAAGAAACTGACATATGAAATTCCTAAACATATTTCGATTTTGATTAAGATCATGAACCTATTGATCTTAGATCACCATAGAAAACCTGGAAGCACTGAATGGGCGTCTTGCTCTGTTGTGCGACCGCTCAGCAGTGAGCATTCACGATCACGATTATCATCTTAAGCATCAATAAATTAACTGATGTATATTTACTCATCAGTTGTCAGTGAATGATTAGAAATACATAATAAAGTAAGGTTTAATAAAAGTGTGCATTTGTAATGGAAAGCCACCATAAAATCTTTGTTTCTATGACTAAAACATAGACTGTTATGTGTAATGGACTGAGTAATAGAACATATTTTCTCTGTTGTTAGTAAAATGAGATAATTTACAACCAGATGATTTGAATACTTGTGAATATTTTTCTATGGAAACCTAACGATCACTTTGAAAGTACACACAAAGAATATGTTCGTTGTTATAGACAATTTTAAGTGACTGTTTACGACAATACGAAATCTCTCAAAAGATCATTATCTGAAAGAATTAATGGTACTTTTGAACAGCATATATGTCAGCTGATGGCTTAAGTAGAGTTTGCAGTGCGACTATAATTTATGCACGACCTTCGGGCGACACCAAAGTGACCTTGAAAGTGTCTATTTAATAACTAAGACTAAATGAGTGTTATAAACCAGTGTGAGGAATTCGAATTATGATTTACAATTGATGGTTAAGGTTAGAAATTAGATTTCGGGTTTTCATCACGAACTAACAACAGCTATAATACCAGAACGCTACTTGACCAAATGGATAAATTAATTTAGCGTTAAAATGCAAGACTTGTTATCTTATATCTAATTGGTTCGTCCATAAATTATAGTCTTGCCGAACAATAACATTAAGATTAAAACATTTTACAGCAGGTGAAAGCACATTTTCTTCCGAATTTCAGTCATCATTTATGAAACAACAACATGCCAAGCAGAGTCGATGAAGGTTAAGAATATTTAAGCATCTTAATTGGAATATATTACAATACAAATAATACTAAAAACCAAAAACGCTTAAATGATGTATAAAATCATAAAACTATTTTTCAATTTTCTCCCAAATATGGACGTACTTCGAATCCAACACGTTCATCAAGTCATAAAATACCTCAACTACTACTGTGTTGTTAACTATCGGTTTACCACCTCGACCTTTTATTGGATATTCTTGTTTAGTTTCATATTTTCTTGTTTCAACTATGCAATGTAGAATAGATTTTACAGATTCTCCAAATTTTTTCTCTATAGAATTCCAGATTGATTCCGTAGAATCTGTAATGTAATAGGTAGGATTTGTAAAACTCACTTTACTTATTGAATAATGAATACAAACATAGTATTTAAGGGTAGATTACTTCTTTAGTATTTCTCATTGTATCCGATTTTGTTTTTCGAATACAGCCTTCAAATGCCTTGATATGGTCGAGAGTGAGGAGACTCAACTCTCCTTCACGAAGCGGCTCTAACATGGCCACTTGCATACAACCACAGACAGGAAATTCCTACTCAATGCCTTATAGCCGCCGGAGTGTTGCTTACGAAATTGAGAGGACGAAAAGCCAATGTTCGGCAGGCGCTTAAACCGGTTTGTTGCATATGGAAGATTCAACTAAGAGAGTTAGAAAACCCTGATTCCAAATCAGTAGTGTACATGGTCTTCAGTATCCTGAAGGAATAAATGGCGTATGAACCAATCGTTGGTCACTAGCTACCACGGTGTTGCATCTGCTGACGTTGTTCTACTGCCTTGTTGATCAGACCTTTAGGTCAAAGGCTTTGAGTGTAGCCTCCTAAGTAAACCACCTACTTCGGTTCGAGCATCCGGGTAGTATCCCAGCACTCAAACATATCGAATTATTTATGTGTGCATATCTATTTGGTGCCTTCTTGAACCACTGTTTATATGTTTAAATTAGATAAATAAAATTTCCGAATACAAATGTTAACACAACCAATCTGAAATTAATAAGAGAGTTTGTTTACAATTTTGAATAATTAAATTACAGAGTATTCAGATTATAATAGATGATATCAGCTGTTTTAAGGCTGAATATAAGTTCAACGTTTAAACAGTACAAAGAATGAACTTTCAGAACAAACGCACTACAATACATTGATAAAATTTGAGGATAAATTTCATGAGTAAAGTAGTCAAATTAAAAGTATTCATGTATGTGTAAGCCTAACAGGTATTCATAAGCTAGTGTTATCATTCAATCAAGAATTTCCGTTCTATTATACGGAGCTGAAACCTGGAGAACTACAACAACCATCATCAAGAAGGTACAAGTATTTATAAATAGCTGTCTACGCTTGCATAGACTTAACATCCATTGGCCGGATACCATCAGCAACAGCCTACTGTGGGAAAAAACAAACCTGCTTCCAGATGAAGAAGAAATTAGGAAAAGATGATGGGAATAGTTAGAATATACATTACGCAAATCATCAAACTGCATCACGAGGCAATCCCTCACTTGGAATCCTGAAGGGAGTAGAAAAGTGAAAGGTCAAAGAACACATTACGTCGGGGAATAGAAGCAGATATGAAAAGGATGAATAACAACTGTAAGGAGCTGGAAAGGATTGCACAGGACGGGGTTTGATGGCGAATGCTGGTGAGCGGCCTATGCTCCTTCACGAGGAGTAACTGGCGTAAGCAAGTAAGTAATCATCTAGATGCACCTGGACATTAGTGCTGGAGTTCACACTTGAACAAGTTAACTATGAATTGGAACACTTACATATATTTCCTTTGGATACTGAGTACAGTAGCCTGAAGGGTGTGATACTTATTTCTAGTAGTTTTGCCAATAGAAGTGCTAAACCTTTTGACTTAACTAGCCGACTTAATCTAGAACGGTGCTCTCTATTCCACTTTTATATAACATGTAATGGTAAGAAATCAAATAATAAAAAAATAAACCTCTAAAATTTACTAACATATTTTATAAGCAGTTTCCACTCGATCAAATTCATCACCCCAGAAATCAATCAGTATACTTGTCGTTTTTCGTAAATTCGAAGCATTTATTGCAGTGTACAGTTCATCAGCTAATAATATAGATGTGTCTGTTAGTAGATCTTCAAATAACTGTTTCATTAATCCCGATTTAAAGTTTTCTCTTTCGTTTAGTAGAGACTAAATAGTAAAGAAAACAAGAGCGTTCGTGATATTTTAAACTAGGGTGATGAATGACTGATCTGAAACTTACTGCTAGACAGATCACTCAACAAGCGTTTCACTCCATGGTTCGAAAAACGATAGTAGGGGTATGGATAAACCACTGTCTTTTTTGTCGTAGTTGACCATAGATAATCATATAAAGAATTGAGGATAAGGTACTGTCTTCTATTATAGCTTTCATTTGATATTCGTACATGTAGAAAGCTATATGAATTTCGGCTAAGAATCTTAATCTTCGCATTTTAATTAGTTATGATACCACTAAGTTGAAGTGAAGAAACTAACCGTTTTTAACAAGACAATTCGCACCATTTGAGATTATGCAAGCTTCTTAAAAAGATGTCTTATGCAGTTACGTTTACTTAATTTCGATGTAAGTAATAAAGCATTTATCCGTCGTTATCTACAATCTACTTGGACATTTCAAATTAACATTCATTTGACGAAACAGTTTTTTAGTTTTTCAAGCTTCTGAAGTTATTCTCGAGGAATTGTTGAGGTCCGTTTATAGGTATCATTGATTCTCGTCATGGGAACTTAGTAAATTATCTATCGTTATATATATATATATATATATATACATGGATTCGAAAGTAAATCCTGACAAGTACCAATTAGAAACTGTATGATGAGTAAACGTGTTGTCAAGTCACAAGTCTACAGACTATTATAGGCTACTCAAAGTATTTGCCTCGGGGAATTTTGTTTGTATTTAGTGAATGAGAATACAAGTAAAGCAACAGATAAACTGTTTACTCGAGTAACAGAATATGGAACAAGCTGTAGTCAATTTACGTTAGTTGTTTTAATCTTACCATTGATTTTATGGTATGACACTTACACCAATATGAGGAAATTATTTATATATTAATTCGGATTAGTAAAGATAGGTTTATCACTAACGGACCAATTATATAGACATAAATAGCACCTACTTGGAACTTTAGATTATTTCACATAATTCACTTGATATTGTTTACTTGAATCTTCTGATTGATGTTTGGGACTGTAATTGATCAGTCTCTTATTAGCGTATATGCATACTGTGCGTATTGACTCGATATTTCCTTAATTCACAATCATTATAAGCAAGGTTGGATAGCTGCTAGCAGTGGAATCCAGGAAACGCGAACGAAACTGGGTTCGAGTCTCCGAGTGAACATCATCTATGATATGCAGGCTCATCCAGCTGACGAGTTCCAGATAAGACGGAACGCGCCTTCTGGATTCCAGTGCTAGCCACTATCCATATTTCTTGTAATTGTTTTCAAATGTTATCGATCAGCAAGTGAACAATCTATAAACAGCATACTTGATTTAACTACCCAAAGAGAGGTAGGAATTCCATTTTAAAGAATGAATAACTTATGCAAGGATATAGGTTAGATAACAAATAAATACCTACTAACGACGGGTACAGTCTATTTACGTTAAACCTTAATTAAAGTATTTGCTTGGCTTTAAAATGCATGACATTAAAGTTATAGAATGAAGAATGAGCTTAACATTCTACGATATTAAAGAGTTAGCGCTTAACGTTTTACCGCTTCTTTTGAAATACATGTAAAAATGATCTGAGTGCAAAACATTACTACACAGTATTTAAAAAAGACATCAGATACAAACTTTTTTAAAAATCCTGTTGTACCGATGCACAATATTTTGTCGTTCTGCATTTCGTCTTGACGATAGAACTTCCATAATCATCTCCGTTTGCTGATCTGTGGAGTATCAAAGAATAATGGTTTATTACATTCACCAAATTGTAGACACAGATATATGAGTGAAAGACTTTCTTTTAAGCGAGTGTTCATTATGTCCTAAGGTTATAAATATAAATTAATGTTCCGAATGATGAATTTAAGTTCAAGGAGAACATTGTAGAAGCCACAGTTTATGAGACCAAGGCTTATTATAAGTATAGGATTTTGTCGAGGTTACAGAACTTTCACAAATTAAATTACATCTATTTGAATTCAGAAAAAAATGAACAGCAGTTTTGTCATTAAATTGAACCCCTCTGTAGTTCAAATCCACGACCCTGACACACTGAGTATAACTCTTGATTTGTAGTCTTACCTTCCAACACCTGGTCTTTTGATCACTTGGCTGGTATCGAGTGTAGAACACGCATAACTTCAATTCATTCATTATACTGCGTAACTATCTTACGCTCAATATGGTCGGTACCTATCTCACATCAGTGTTGCCATACTTCATCGGGTATTTACGAAGTGATTTTGAAATGATCTCCAACGATTATTTATAGTCAGATTTGGTCTAATTTAAACACTCGGTTTATGTTCTATATAGCGCCAGATATATGCTAGTTCGTCAACATCATCGGAAATGTAAACATTAGTTGACAAACAGTGATGTCCCTATATGTAACATGCTTATTTGCAGCTTTTTTCTCCCAAAAAGAATTTTAAACACGTCTTCACCCTACTAATAGATCACAATATATATATGTGGTGTATATTACTGATGTTCATAGATATCAGTAGTATGTGGCATCATCGGAAGTGGAATGTTTGCTTTCAAAGGATTAGGAAGAAAAGAAAAAATAAAGTATAATTGTTAAAACAATGAAATCAAAAGAACAATGAAACCTGTATAGGACAACTGATGGGAGATGTGCAAATTATGTGAAAGCACTTTGTAATTTTGCATTGAACAATAAATTGGTCTTCCGCACCCGAGTTTTCGCTTTCTTACTCAAATGTCCTATGAATGTTGCCTTTATATTCAAAGGTTTAATATGTAGGAAAATAGATTATACTTAAATTGTTTATTTGCCAAACTTCATATTAGTTGAAAGTTCAATAACTGGACTAAAAAAATGTCTCACTGACACAGTTTATTAAGAACTTCTCCATTCAACAGTTGATATGTGGACGATATGTTCATCCTTTGTTAAGATCACAAAACCAGGCAAATATTCTCAATAAGAGTCATTCACCCACCGAATTCACATCCAAGGAAGAACACCTTAATAACATTCCTAATTGTTCTACTTTCAAATTGAGTAATTAGGTCATTACAAAAGAAAACAAACGTAAATCTTGTTAGTTTTGCTCTTCTACAATATTAAAGACTACTATTTACGCCACATAATTAAAAGAATAATGCATTCCAAATACAGTCGCTGGAAAACAAATGCATTACATATTGCTTTAACAGAAAACCAGTACCTTGAAAGATTGATTGAAAAATACTTACAGATTGAAATCATGAGTCAGTTGAAGCTAGAACACCATTGAAAACCTGGAAGCACTGGACGGTCGTTTCGTCCTGTTATGGGACCCCTCAGCAGTACGAAGAGATCCCGCACCCCGCGGAGGTTAGACATTAAAACCGTTGGATGCCGACTCAGTGGTCTAGTGGTTAAGTGCTCGCGCCGAAGCCAGTAGGTCCTTGGATCGTGGATGCGCACTGCCGAGGAGTCCAGTACAGGACGAAACGGCCGTCCGTGCTTCCAGGTTTTCAATGGTGGTCTAGCTTCAACTGACTCATTATTTCATCTGTGAAAATTTCTAAGATTTCCACAAACCCTTTGATAAAAAAATACCTAGTCAAGAAAATAGAACAAAATGAAGCATTATTTGTAGGAAATATGCCTCAGGTTTATGAGCCTACTATGTAGAGGTGACGCATTCAATGAGATGATAATACTAAAGTCGTACAATGCATTTCACAGAAATTTTAGTGCGGTTTAGGTTTAATTCATCTATTCAATGCATCCGACAGTAGCTACTAGAGTAGAAAATAAATTACTTAGGTTGTCCATCTTTTTCTGTATTTATCAATTCATCTACCGCTATAGATCAAGTTACATAGACAACTGTTCTAGGAACTCGTACTGTTGTGCTCAAAATCACATCCCAGTAGGTCTAGGGAAAGGTATTGTAGTATGTGCTACTTATATTGACATAAGTAGTATATGATGTTAGTCGTAGACAGAAGGTCTGGCAGCAGAGAGACAAGAGGATCGAACAGTAAAGAATGGAATCAGAATGCCATTAGTATGAAACTTCACAACAATGAAGTCTGAGTCATTTTGAGACAACTGATGGATATTTTGCAATTAAGCATTTGCTTTATGATTCTTAGATTTTATTAACAGTCCTGTTATTTTCTGTCAAATACATTCGATTGTCCCAGTAGTGTTTCTGTTCACTATATATTTGAAATATATCTTTGTTTTTCTGAGTATAATATTATATTTTCTGTGTAACCATTAACCTACTTAAGTCACTTTTAACATTTCACTATTTTATTAACATTTATGCATATTATTAGTAGTCTGATGACATCGATTGACTCGTAGGTCGAATCATGAAAAGGTTGTTCACTCGTAATTTGAAGATTCACAATCTCAACTATACTGTATTACACTAACAAACCTAAATTTTATCAATATTAACTTATTGTAACATTTTAACATAGAACATTTACTTTTGATTAGCATAAATGATAATATCCATTTACCTTTGTTTGTATTTCCTATTCTGTAGACGTCTTCATCAGCCGACGTTCCATAACTAAATACCTTTGGTTCATAAAGAATGCCATTTATATTAACGTGATGAAGAGGTGAACGGATGAATGGTGGTCTAAAATGATAGATAACTGTACTGCTTTTAAAATTCAAAAGATAAAATCTAATTTAAAATCTATCCCTTTAATAATAATATATTCCAGATTGAGTGTTCCCAAATGCTCTTGTACGGCCGAGAGTGGGGAGAGTCAACTCTCCCTCAAATGACCACTTGCATACAACCACTGACAGCAAGGTCCTACTCCTTGTCTTCTCGCATCATGTGTGTTGTTTACGAAATTGAGAGGATGAGAAGCCGATGTCCGGCAGGGGCTTAAACAGGTTTGGTGCATATGGAAGATTCAACTAAGAGAGTTGGAAAACCCTGATTCCAAACTCATGGTGCTGCCGAGCTCCAGTATCCTCGAGGAACAAATGGCGTATGGACCAATCGTTGTTTACCAGCTAACAAGGGACTGCATCTTCTGACGTCGCTTTACTTATTTGTGGATTAGACTTTTAGGTAAAAGTCTCCAGTTGTGGCCCCTTTAGAAAACCACCTGCTTTGGTTGGGGCACGCTGGCAGTATCCTAGCCTTAAAAAAATCAAATGATTTGTGTGACGCGCATCTATTTATTGCCTCTGTGTACTAATGTTTATGTGCTTAAATAGATAAATAAATAAAAGTTTTAAAACGCGGGGATACGAAAGAAAGTTAGTTAACCAAAGTTAAAAGTTATAAGGAGTTCTCGTAATATCACTTATTGACACACAATCGACAGGATTTAGGTTTATCAATGCATAAAATTAAGATTATAAGCATGTCTAGACTACATCGTTGAGCCTTCTATGAAAGATTTACTTTTTGGATCCTAGTGATAACTTAACAGTTTTAGATTAAACCCTCAACAGAATATTATGATTCTCATATTACAGTTGAAAAATCATTTGTTTCAGTGTTAAAAGTATATTTCATTGTTCAGTCGTTTTCTAATTTTCAGTGACAGAACTTGAAGTAGATTCAAAATATACATTTCGAATAATATATAAACAGTTTTTTTTAAAAAAGTTTCCATGAATTGACTGTGATCCGGTTCTGATTGGATTTGTAAGGAAATGATCGGTTCTGTTTTGCAAAAAACTATGATTAGCACTTAGTGACTTTGAAATGATTTACTGTCTCATCTTTATATGTTCATAGTAAGCATTTTCTCATAGACCTCTATATTACTTAACAAGCAATATGTTTAAGGTTAAGGTTAACATTATTCATTGATACGATTCGATCCACACTAAGTAGGACACGACATACATGACATTGATCACCACACTGTGATAGCTGAGTGGTAACCCCTCTGACTGTGAAGCTGGTTGACATGGGATCGAATCCGTCAGAGAGTATCGGTTCCCTCAAGATAACAGGTACACCTTGCCAAATAACACGAAACCTGGATTCAGGGTTTCCAGTTGACTACCTCCAATAATAATCTTATATCGACATAATGTATGCAATGTTGAGTCATGAAGACTGCTGACCACATTGCAACTTGGTCTATAGGATTCAATTTGCACTAACAAGAACCTGATCATCACCCAGTGATCAATTAATTGTAGATTATTCATCACCATTTTGTATTTTGAACAGATTTACAGGTCTCTCATTACAAATCAGATTGCATTAAAATCGTTTGATATTGTTCAAGTATCTGACAGAACAATGACCTAACGACGTTAAATAACAACTGTTTGTCAGCTAAAAATATAAAGTCATAAATATTCATTTCAAGAAATCTCCAATTCTTCAAATACTCGATCAACGATGACATCTTAAGTAAAGATACATGTTGAAAAGCTTTCGTAATTGTTTTTATCTCTAATTTGGTATTCATAGAGTGAAGATAACTATATTACTCATTGACTGTCTATCGAAACATTAACCAGTCACATTTTGAGAGTTGTCGAAGTTTCGGTTACAAATAGAAAGCTAATAGCATCTAAAAAAGACATTACACAATCTGGTTTAGTACATTAGTCGAAACAACATATTCATATATGTATGGTAAACAAAATTGTAGTTACTTTGTTAGGTTCTACAAGTCGGAACAAACTATCGGTGATTTTCAGTTGTAGTGTCGGTTATTAAGTTGAGCCCATATAATTTATTCTAGCTTTCGGACTAGCCAATCTATTCATTCTACTTTAGTCACATTTTGACCTTTTAATTATTCGCTTATCAATTTTGACTGTTTTTATATGAGCGGATATGTGTGTGCCCTTCTTACCTTATTCATCAAATGTATGTGACATATTTTTGTGTGACTATGTTGATTAACGTTTGGTTAAATGGAGTTGGCTTACCCTCCATTTCTACTGCGCGTCATTTACCTTCGCTCTCTTCGATCCGCTTTATGCCTCTGATTTCCAGCCCAGATCTATGAGTGTACAAAATATACGCATTCAAAAATCCATTCTCGAAATTGACCTATTTAATTCCGATATTCACTAACGCGATTTATGTCGCTCACTATATATGAGGATTGACGATATATATGTCTTAATAGCAATCAGAAACGATCAAACTGGAGTCAGGTCCCGGGCTACTAAGGATCAAACAATCTACTTTTGATGATGTCATATATAATTTTCATTGGATAATTGCATTCCATTCAATCATAATTTATATTGTGAAGAAATGAACTCTGTTACCGATTTTCAGTATGGGTTGTGGAGGTTATTAAGTTTTTGATTGAGATAACGAGACGATTGATGTTAGACCACCATTGAAAACCTGGAAGCACTGGATGGCCGTTTCGTCCAATTATGGGATTCCTCAGCAGTGCATATCCACGATCCCCCTTGCCGGATTTGAACCCAGGGCCTCCAGTGTTCCGCGCGAACGCTTGAACTCTATACCACTGAATTTGCTGGCATCCAACAGTGTTAATGTCCAACCCCAAACAATCCACTAAATTGCGCGACCAACTTCAATTGTACTGAATAGACACCTGTCTCTACCAGACGCGGATTAGTTCCAATTTTACTGTTCTGACATATAATGTTATCTAATGAAATTGATAATGTATCCCTTATTTCGTTTATGATAAAATATTAATCATGGATTTGTCAACATGAATTCTGATGAATTTACTCATAGCCATTTTAACTCAAGTATTTCTAGTATTTAAATATTCAAGCAGATATTCCAAATATATTTTCTATGGTATAAACGACTACCTTGATTGAATATTTACTCAACGGTGGGTATCGATTTTTGAAAATAAAGGTACATTTTCAAATTTAGAATTAGTATTACACTGAATTATTATTAAATATAAATGAAAAAGAAGGTCAAATAACACACTGCGTTGAGAATTGGAAGCAAACATCAAAATGATGAATAACAACTGGAAAGGATTGTTCAAGACAGAGTTGGATGTAAAATGTTGGGAGTGGTCTATGCTCCTTCACTAGGAGTATCAGGCGTATATAAGTAAGTAGGAATTAATGAATGCTTTATAATAATTTCAACGATCATAAGTCCAATTGGACATTACAGAAACTGTTTCAATACATATAAACTTACGTTTGTTCATCATAAGACTGAAATTGAAATGAACATGAAATGTTTATCAGTCAGTCAAAAAATTAAAAATATTCGGATTCATTGCATAATATTATTCTGTTTCCATAACTCATATTAACATTAGTTAGCTATTAATAAACGTGTATAAAACGAGAATAAATTAAGATTCTACTAAAGCAAGCTGTATTGATATTTCGGTGAGACTATAGTTTATGGACGAATCAATAGGATGTAAGTTAACCCTAAATCTAATTCCTAACCTTAACCATCAACTGTAAATCATAATTTTAATACCTCACACTGGTTTATAACCCTCATTTGGTTCTAGTAATTAGGTGGTTACTCTTAGAGTCACTTTCACGTCAGAGTTTACTATGATGTTCTTTAATTTTGTGCTCAAAAGCATTCGATTGTCCATACTTGTGTTCGTGTTCACTACAATATGATACATTGTCAAAAGTGTTGGTTAAATGGATCATTATCTAATACAAATTTATATATTTTAAAGCAAAGATCATATTCATAATCACAATATATAACGTTTAAGGTTATTAAACGTATAATGTATTGGTATCAGAAGGGTTTTCGTGTATATTATAGTAATTTCAATAGTTAAGATCATGTGTCAATTGAAGCTAGACTACCATGAAAGACCTGAAAACACTGGATGGCTGTTTCGTCTTATTGTGAGACACTTCAGCAGTGCGCACCCACAATCCCACTTCGTAAGATTCGAACCCAAAACCTATCATTCTCGCGCGGCATATTTACAAAAAATATTGATAACAATTCAACTTACCGTAAGTATCAGTAATAGGATATCGGTTAAAATAAAATGTAAACCATTTAATAAATCTAATAACATTTTCACAAGGAGCTTGGTTACAGATATGATTACATCATAGTTTAATATGACTTAAATTTATACCAAAAATTGACCAATCACACATAGCAGGGTGTGAATAGTTAAGATGACGAATTTCATTCCATAAATGTAAATATTAAGATAAACAAACATAATGGTATTTTGAAGTTGAAATTTTAATGCATGAAATATACACAATCCTGTTATGTTCGTATATAGGAATTAATTGTTTTAGATGTAAACAAAAATGTCATCTGATCGAGATCATACCGATGTTTGTATTGTTTATTTGCCTAAATGTAATTGTGTACAGATCCGGTGTAATCTTACAAATTATTCACTTGATATTGTTTGGCTTGTATCTTTTCATTGAGGTTTAAGACTGCGATTGATCAGTCTGTTATTGGCATATGTGCATACTGTGCGTATGCCTCAGAAACCTCAACGAGACTGCTGAAAACCTTCGGAATTGGCGTGGCACACAAACCAACAAAATCACTACAATCAATCCTATGCACACCAAAGGATGAAATAACAAAGGAAAACAAATCAAACACCATCTACAAAATAAATTGTGCCAACTGTGAAAAACACTACATCGGAAAAATCGGACGCCCCCTTCACCTTCGGCTACACGAACATCAATTAGCAGTCAAATGCCATGATATTTCCTCACTTATATCAATACACGTGGACAACTGCGGACACTCATTCGATTGGAAAAATGTGGAAATCCTAGACAGAGGAAACTTCAAAAACACCAAAGAATTTTTATAAGCCTGGCACTCAGGTCAATCAGCAATCAACATGCACATTGAAATCGATCCAATTTATCAACCAATCAGGGAAATTATGCACAAATATAGGAACAAAAATCAAACCAATGGGAGACAGAACCACAACAAAGAAGTAAACAATGACAAATTCAAGGTCAATAAGAACCAATCTACATCGAGTTGTACAGAACAAGCTGTGAAACACATATAGAGGAATGCGAACACTTCACTTCTATCTGAAGTTTGTGCTGATGATGTCGTTCAGAAGAACGATGAAATCTCCACGGCCAAACCATCCAGCTCAGAGAACAAAACTCCATCAAAATGCCTCGATATGCCTTAATTCACAAGCTTTTTAAGCAATGATGGATAGTGGCTAGTGGATTCCATCTATCCATCTATCTTCTTAATATCAAATCGTACTTTTACCTATTATATGCGGTGACGTAATTGTTTCTCATTGTGATTAATGACTCAAATCGCCATGATAGGTTTAACATATTAGAGTAAAGCCTAATGACGATCTAATTGAAAACAATTGTTCGCTTACATGTGTTATTCTGATTTTGTTTATTATCGAACTAATAGTATTTATGATAAAACATTGAATAGAATACTGATTATCATTACTAGATTTAGGTAATGAAGTGTGGTAGCGGTGATACAACTGAACAAATACTTAAATAAAAATAGTAATGATTAAAATCGTCATTCATGCGTATAACAGATTAAGCCTTTTCAGTTGTGTGTGATAATTTTTAGATTAACTTGAGAAGAATACATTGTGATATGACTTAAATGTCAGCTGAATAACCAGACATTTAAAGAAGATAATATTGAAGACATTTTAAACTGCTCGACTCTCCATTATCGCACAGACGAAATACGAATAATGTAAGTGTACGTTCTCAATGATGAATACACTATACATGTGAACGAATCGGACGAAATTAGCAAGTTCACTCTGAACAAACACAAGTTTATCGTAACTAGTTTTCCAGAAAACAAATTAACGTAATGAATAACAAGTGAAAATTATTACGATTTTTTCCGAAGAGTTATAAATGACATGTCCTTTTGAGGCTAAGAAAAACCAACTAATTCACGTGGAATTGACCGTCTTGTGTTTGAGTCACACCTGTTGGATTATGGGTGAGCTCTATAGAGGAGTTCCATAAAAGGACGGCACATCTGGTCGGTGCTCCCATGTTTTTAGTGGAGATCTAACAGTGATCGGCTTATTATTTCAATGAATGAATTCGAACATTAGCATTTTCTCAAACTGTTCAATTTTAATTACGTATAATTTTACTTTACGTGCTCTATAGTGTAACATAATATTCTGTAGGCTGTTATTAATTTTGTCTTAAATTTAATACAAAACTTTCATTTTGTTGTAATCGAATAGATTATGTAATGTATTTATGTAATCTCGTAATGTAATGTAATCGTATAGTGATTCATGCATTGTGTGTATACAGTTGTACAGATACTTCACTAGGATCGATGATTTTATCAGTCTGCGAATTTACAAGCGTTTTAGCCCATCTTCAATTTCATCACTGGATATTGATAGCATTCAGATTTTTGCTGTTGGTTTCTCGTATTTCTTGTGCTACGGATGGGTATAATGTTTTGCTAGGGTTCTTATACGGACGGTCAGCTGTAATAAGCAGAATATGTGAATGAAATTCAGGAACTGGACCTGAATGAAAGGGCACAGAGATCAAACCAGACTTAGTCCAGCCATTCACCTCGGATATTTGTCTGGTCAGATGCTACTGGTATCCCTATATAAAGACGTCTAATACTGCTGTCTCGTAAACAGACATACCCTTCTAATTACACTTGTAGGTACCATCAATACTTACGACATCGAGAAATCGACGAGCTATATTTTCCAATCTACTTTTGAAACGAAGTAGCATTATGAACAGTCGATCACTTCACGATGAACCTGTAGTGTCGGTGATTATGCTAAGCCCATCTAACTTATTCTAGCTTTCGGACAGGACAGTCTATTCATTCTACTTAAGTCACATTTTGACCTTGTTAATTATTCGCTTATCAATCTTGACTGCTTTTATATGAGCGCATATGTGTGTGCTCTTCTTCTTATCTTATTCATCACATGTTTGTGACACATTTTTGTGTGACTATGTTGATTAACGCTTGGTTAAATGGAGTTGGTTTACCCACCATCTCCACTGCACGTCGTTTCGTTTCGCTCTTTTCTCTTGCGTCTGGATCAAAGATTGTATGAAATATGCGTATCCGGAATTTATTTTCATATTTGACTTATTGAATCCCGTTATTGACTAACCCGATTTAAGTCAATGATTATATACGACGATAGGCGACATATATATTTCGACAGGAATAATTTAATAACAATCATTCATACGATCTACTTGGAGTCAGATCCCAGGCCACTAAACGCCTCTAAGCTAACGTCTTAATAGTTAATACTTGGTAGAGACAATAACCAAGGTTACACTTGTAGTGACTTACTTTTATCACGAGAACGCGATAGGTTCAATGAAAACAATTATTATTATAACCAATAGTACCAGTGCTTGTTTTAATGTGTTTTTGTTTAACTGTGCTAATTACAGCCACATTGTGCTTCCATTATCCACCATCACTGTTTCGCGGTTGGTGACTCTGTTCGCACGTACTCCCTACTGCTACTTCCGCTTGTACCTTCTCTTGGCACGACCTCGGTATTCATTCGATACCACAAGATCGCCAATTAATTAAACTTGGTTCCAATCCGCCTTCTGATTTATTTGGCACGTGTTTCCTTGTAGTGGTGCTCATAGTCAACTGGGACTCGACACCTCGCTACACACTAACTTTGAAGTTTCAATCATTCAAGTAACAGTCATCGAACCTTGGACGCTGATTTCCTAACCGCAATTTGCATACACGAAACTGATAACAACGAAAGCTGCAGCTCCGGACATCAACAAACGACGAAAGCTAAGATCAGTCTCATAAGTGATACGCAGCAGCCCATTATTGCAACAGATTGGCCAAGTGAATACTGCATAAAGTCTTCATCAGCCGAATAAATATATAGGATTCACAACCACTACCAAGAGACCGTTTAGACCAGTGGATAAAGAATTTACTGCGCAAAAAAACCTCGTGTCGCTTCAGAAGTTGTTGGACGCTGAGTACGATACTTCCTTCTGCATACATATTTTATGTGGAAATCATTTATATTTCGATGACTGTATCGTATTATGAAATGGAAAAGTCGCATCCTCGAAAGCGCTGAGCAGTCTCAGGAGTTCCGCCTCCATCGTAAATTTTGCAGCGACAAACATCTCTCTGAAAATCAAATCAGCTTCGACGGCGCTGACTACAACTGATATTACTGAATCAAATTCACAACGTTTATGGGCTTAAAAATGAGCATTCTATTAGCCGTCTAAAATGACGCCGTTGATTGGTATAAAAAGGGTATAGGTGAGTAGAGTGTTCAAGATTTTAAAATAAATTTCACGTCCTTCAAATTTTTTTCCGTTAAATCATAGTACCCGAATTTCTGGGTTTGATAAGAAGTATTCTTGCTTGTGATAACTCATTATTTGGCTATAAATTGTGCATCGTTGTAATCTGATGAGTTACGATCGGTGTCACACTAACAATTTTGATTGAGAGTTAAAATTTACATTTTATAATTTAGATCTTATTTTACAGAAAATATTTTGTCGGACGATTTTACCATCATTGAATATAAAATCATAGAGGGATCCCAAGGAACGGATATGACCATCTTAATGTGTGACCTGGACGCCAAAGTCGGAATGGACTACACAGCTTACGAACATATCATGGGACGACATTGACTGGGAGAGGAACCAAAATGGTGACCGATTTGCAAATTTATGTGCATTTAATGAATTGGTTATAGGTGGTGTAATATTCTCACACAAACGCATACACAAAGTTACATGGATCATACCGGATCACACTACGCAGAACCAGATCGATCATATTTGTATCAGTAAAAAATTCAGAAGGATAATGGAAGAAAAGAGAATCAGAAGAGGAGACGACATGGCTTCAGATCACTAGCTGGTGCTTTTCGAGGTGAAACGCAAGCTTATGATGGACTGAACAAACGGAGAAACAGCATTATAAAGGTTTATTACAGCCTTTCTTTGAGATATTGACAAACTCAATGAATTCAAGATCGCTCCCAATAACAAGTAC